CTTATTCTTTCATTCTTTCTGCCTTCCTCCTTCCCTTGGGTCCCACCCTTTCCTCCCAACCTCCACCCCTCCCCTGACCCTCACAAGGGCCTCCCCTTTATTTCTGACGTGCTCTTTGGGACTGTGGTATGATGCTCCCCAGGCATTATTAATCTTGCTTTTAATGCACTGCCAACTTCTCCAGAAATTGAGAAACAGGAAGGAAAGCAAATGAGATTGTAAACCCAGATACCCTATGACAGGAAGATGAAGTCCCCCGGAGCCTACTGGAGACAATGCTGTTTGTGTGAGGGAGACAATTCTCTTGTAATAAAATCCAGCAGAGTGAGTCTCCCTGAGGACACAGTTCTGCCCACTTGACTTGTGCAAGATTGGATGAGGCTGCTGAGGCTGTTCCAGGTTCAAAGCCGCTGATGGATCACTATCCAGTGATTGCAGGGTGTAGGGAGTGCCCCATGGAGGCATGAGGCCAGGGCCAGTTGCTCACTCTTCATGAATACCATGTGTGTATGTGTGTGTGTGTGTGTGTGTATGTGTGTGTGTTTGTGTGTGTGTGTATGTACATTAGCTGTGCATGAGTGTTTGTGTTTAATGAGAGAAAGTTTTGATGTCAGTGTGCATGCATCAGGTGATCTGGAAATCTTTAGACATAGCTGCATGTCTCGGTGTGTCTCTAAGGTCTGGCCTTGACCACCCATTGTGGAATTACTCACTCTTTTTTTTTTTTTTTAATTGATTTTTTACAGAGAGGAAGGGAGAGAGATAGAGAGCTAGAAACGTCAATGAGAGAGAAACATCAACCAGCTGCCTCTTGCACACCCCCCACCGGGAATATGCCCGCAACCAACGTACATGCCCCTGACCAGAATCTAACCTGGGACCCTTCAGTCCACAGACCAACGCTCTACCGCTGAGCCAAACCAGTTTCGGCAGAAATACTCACTCTTAAAAGGCACTGAGTGGTTCATCTTCATTTCTTCACCCCTGCAATTCTGGTATTAATAAGACCCGTCCTTCTCTTTTGTGCTGTTCTTTGGAGAGCACAGACCTCTTCCATGCGCAATTTCTCATTTCATTCTGGTAACCAAAAGCAAGTGACCCTCCTTCACAGATGAGAGATCTTCCCCTCCCCCAAACCTCTGAATGTCCTCCCCAAGGAAAGCCGATCCCATCCTCCTTTCCGGGGCAACTATGAGGCTACTCCTTCAGGCATCCATCTCTATTCCATGTCTTCATTCTCCCTGCACTACTGCTTTCTTCCTCCATCCCCTCCTCCTCAAACCCACCACCCTGCCTGGTCCCACTTCACTGGCAAACCTCTTCCCATTTATTTCCTTTCTTTCTGAACCAAAGTCCTCACTTTCCATTGGTTCCTCTGACTTCCAACCTTACACACTCTTAATGCTGCTCTTCCCGAAATTGTCAATTATGTTTTCATCATCAAGCCCAAAGCCTCTTTAGAGTACTCAGCTTGTTGGAAAGGATGTCTGCATTGTATGACATGGCCATGAACTCCTTCCTTTTAGAAATTCTCATCTCTTAGTTTTTTGTGTTTTCTCTTTTTGGCCAACTAACCTTTCTATGATCTTTGCTGGCCTTTAAAAACCCATTGAATGGTTGCATTCCTTCCTTTTCCATCTTCACATAACCTGGGTGGTGTCAGCTTTTCGATCACATCCAGCTTCTCTTATACATAGATAACTGTGACATTTTTCTCCCTGATTCGCCCTCCCTTCTAACTGCACTCTTTGTTCACCCTCTAGAAATCTCTGTTGAATGTGCAATGACACCACAAAATCAGCAAGTCTGGCTTTTTGAATCTATGCCCAAAATTGCCCCTTTCCCCCTTTTTTGGCCACTGTCTTGGTATTGGCAACATCAGAAGGCAGGGAGTCCTAACACAGCCTCTCCTTTACCCTTAAGATGTGTTTTTTTCCCTCACCCTACCTCATCTCCATCTATAAATGTCTCTTGTATTGCTCACAGTTCTTTTTTTATTCCCCCTGCTCTGTCTTATCTTTCCTTGAGGTTATGACCACAGTCTGGTGTGTTCAGAGGCTTCACACAATGGCTTGACAGATATAAACACACAGAGATAGCTGAGGATCAACATGGTTACACATACATGTACCCAGATATGCATGTAGTACATTATTGTCACTCAAATCAGATGCCATGGCTCTTAAATGGTCCCAGTCCCACAGAAGCACATGGGTTAAGAACACACAAAAAAACTCGTTAGTACAGATCCAAGAAAAGTGGACATAGCAGCAAATATATAGGTATACATTTGTCAACAAATGCATAGTAGTTAGATACAAAAACAGAAATGGAGCCACAGATATAGAAGCACAACCATGGACAAATATTTATTGAGGTCCTGCCATTGTAAGACAAAAAGTTAAGAGCTGGGAGAAAAAGGGTGCTTTGGCCCAGCACCCCCATGGTGGGCTCAGAGAGCTCCGTATATTTGTAGTCTCTTCTACAATCGATCACTCTATCTCCCTCTCTCCCCTTCCAGAGACTATTTCCATTCTGAGACTCTGAGCCTCCTTTTTCTATTCTTAGGCTTGTTAGACCCAAGGGTTGACACAGTTCTGCTTGCTGCCAAGTTTCCGGGATGCTGTGAGAGTGGGAGTGCTTTTCATTACACCAGATACATTTACACAGATGTTGTCGTAATGCACTAAAACCTATATTTGCTCTGTTATAGAGATGAATCACCAATTCCTTACATTTACATGGGATTTTAAATCTTTTCAAAGTGTTTCTCCGGACATTCTCTCATCTGAGCCTCAGGATGCTATTTATTGTAAATGAGTTTTATATATTGCATGTATTTTACATAATTCCTCTTCTTTTCCCACCTCCTAATAAACCAACAGAATCTTCATAGCTGTTAGATATCAGTGATTTATTAATGTAATCCATTCTGTTTTTAATTGACTATTCCACACTCTATATGCTGTTTTTGGCTTGGATAGGTTGGGTTATATACATATTTTTGGGTTAGTTGAGTCATTATTATTGCTTTAACCCTTCCTACTCTTTCTTCCCACCATCATTTACACACTCTAGTTTTCTGTCTTTGCTTGAATATTTGAACCCACTCATTGAGATTTTGAATATTATTTTTCAATGCTCAGTATAGTTTATATAAAATAGTAAAATAGATGGTGTCCAATGTGGCATTCTACATTTTCCTACATGTTTTATTTTATATATTTTATCTGCTAGCTAGGTGAGTTGGAGCAACTAGCATAACCACTCTGTATTTTATATTGGTTAAGGTGGGAAGTTTATGGCAAATATTAGAGCAGACACATGTCAAGTGCCTGGCCTATTGCTTGACACACACTTAATAAATTGTGACTACTATAGGAGTGTGTGGTGGTGACTATGTCAGTAGTCAAATTATGATAATGTGGTAAGAACATGCTCTTCACAACTGTCTTATAGGAAAGTGCTTGGGAGTATCTCCCTCATGGGTCCTTATTTAACCTTGACATGTGGTTGAACATTCAGGCTGTTTGCCATTTTTGTCCTTTATAAGTAATGTCTCACTAAACATCTTCTTGCATACAATTTTATTCTTCTTTTCAATTTAACATTTGAATGTATTCCTATGAGCAAAATTCCAGAATGAAGGGATATGTACATTTGTAAGTTTCTCAATAGATAAATAGTGCCAGATTGCTTCCCATCAGAGCACCATTAGTTTACACTTCCAGAAATTCAAGAGAAAGATTATTTATAGAAATTTCCATAGCCTTAGCTGAGCCTGTTTTCTGTTTCACTTTTCTTACACAGATTTTTCTTTAAAACCATAATATATGTGTATCTATATGTACATGTTTGTATATGTATGTACATATGTGTGTGCATATGCTATATATGTGTATACATATACATACTTTTATAGGGCATGTGTCAGTGATGATATTTAAGAATCATTTGCCACATGATTTTGCTAAAAACTGGTTGCTCAAAGTTTGAGATGCTTACTTGTGATGATACATACGATAATTTTAGCTAGCATGTGACATGAAATGAGATTGGTTTATATATTGACAGTGATGTTCTATTTCCAGTTCCCTTTCAGTCTTCTGATCAGATCAAGGAAAAAGTCTAAATTTGGTGCCAACAACACTTTAAAACCCTCTAGTCCTTCTTCATCTCCCTTTTAAAAGGAGGGGCTTTTTCCCTCCTGGAGTTTCTAGCTCAAATTTAATAACATAATTTGGTCTCCAGTATATTTATTTTATGCTTTCCTATATTTTATAGAAATAAATATTTGTACTTTATTTACAATCTTGATATAAAGGGGTTTTTGCACACATTTGGTTAATTAAAAAGTGCAATGGTATATGTACAGAGATAATAATTTAATAAAAAAAATTTTTTTTCAAATGTATGGATGGGGCAGACATCCTGACATTGGTGTTCCAGTGATTCAAGTTTGGGACATACTGCATGGGGAGTGCATCACCACAGATTTCCTAGGGGTAATAATAACAACAAGTGGGCCTTGGAAACACATTGACTCCAAGTGTCCCTAATGCATGACAGTTTGGAACTTTGTGATTGCTCCTTCATCCCTGTTCATTTGGGAGTGTAAGGACCTACCAGGTGGCCCTGAGGAGAGTTACTTTAATATCCGGTGAGTCCCGTTGGTTCATGACCAGGTGAGAAATCTCTTCACTTGGCAGGTAAAGAGCAGAGTGGGAATGCTCAGTACTAAGAGATGCATAAATCAAGACTGACACTGTGAATAGAATGATTCAGAAAATGGGATTAAATAGCTTAATGATAGTCATTGTGAATCACAATGTCAGGTTTAGTAGAATTCTAAGGATGTACTTGCTAACATTAATGGGGTTTGATGGAATAAAATTAACCATGTCCAAACAGCTGCATGCCTTCACAACAAAGAAACTGTATCTCAGCAGGCTGATACATCCTCTCCCTCGGGTCAATTGATTTTACTTTTTATCTTTTAGGATATATTTAAATTCGCAAGAACGTCTCCTGTCCCAAGACAAAAGAGGTCCATTGTGGTATCTCCCATTTTAATTCCAGAGAATCAGAGACAACCTTTCCCAAGAGATGTCGGCAAGGTAAGTCAGACAAAAGACAAATGACAAAAGCTCACTTTTATTAAGAGATGAGCATACATGAGACAAACTGATGTCTTGGTGACAAGCTAGAATTGGCCTTAATTCCCCTATGATAAAAAGGCAAACTGTTTTTGCCACAAAAAAAATTGTCAAAAGATTAGTCTTTGCAAAAAACAATAGTAACAGCTCTGAATGTCATGATCTGGAGATCTGTGTGGTACATAACGATGTTGAAGTTGTGTCAGAAGCATGCCATTGGCTTAGCAACAAACTAGTTGCTTTCATCGATAATTTCAAGGCAGCTGTTCAGGTAAGTTCCATTATTGTAACAATATGATGATATGTGGTCTTTTAATTTAGATCCTAGTTTTCAAATGTGTTATTCCAGGAGCAGCATTGGATCAGCTTTCTAAAACCTAAGATCAAAGGCACCAGATCAAAGAAACTAAATCATACTAATCAGATTCAGAAAACACTGTTGCAAAAATCAAAACCACAACTTTCCCAAGAGGAAACAGTCACTGTGAAATGGACAGAAATACTGGTGCTGCCTGGTCAGCACATTCTTCTCCCATAGAAGCAACAACATGGAGAATCAAATTTTAACCAGTTTGTATATTTTTGTTGTTGTTGAACTTGAAATTTGAACAATAGTGCTTAGTTGAATGAATCATCTCAGTGACTGTATCTAGTGGACTATTTATTCATTCATTAAATAAGTAAGGACCACCTTTATATGTTGGACACCAAGATTGGGGATTGGTAAGCATAAGTTTGAGCAAGAATACAAAGAATACAAAGAATACAAAGCCTCTGTTGTGATGGAGCTTGTATTCCAGTGGGAAGACAGTTTAATGAGTAAATATATAAACATGAAGATTGCTGAGGAGAACACTTGCTGTGAAATAAGAAGCGGGGTGATGTGAAAAAGCAAAAGGCAGGATCAGGAAGTAGAGAGGAAGGAATCTTTACACTGGCTTTACAATGGTAAAGTTTGATTGGAGTTACTGACATGTGACTGCAAATTGGAAGAATGAGAAAGGCACAGTTAAGGGAAGATCTTGGTAAACTGCATTCTTGGCAGAGAGAACTGCACATGAAAAGGCCTGGAGATGGTTAGAATGGGGTATATTTTAGGAGCAAACGCATGGTTGGCTACAATGCAGTGAGCAAAGAAGAGAGTGGTAAGAATTGAAGTCCTGGGGCCCAAGGTGAGAGGTAGGGATTTCACTATGCATGCAGCAAGAAATTCTGAAGGTCTTCGTGGTGTGTGTGTGTGTGTGTGTGTGTGTGTGTGTGTGTGTGTGTGTGTGTGTTTTAAAAGAACCTTCCGGCTGGCTTCCCTGTGGGGAATGATTTGTTAGGAGCAGAATTGAAGAATTGAGTGATAGGAAAGAGTAGATACATAAAGATAAGGTAAAAATAGATAAGTGATCTGGAGAAAATGTGAGGGTGACTTAGACTACTAGAAATCTGCTTCTATTAGGAACTAGAGGCTCAGGGCACGAATTACCTTGGCCTGGCTGGTGATCGGGGCCAATTGGGGCCACCTCGCCAGGTGTCTTGCCAGGTCTTGAGGCTGCTGGCTGGGGGAGGGCCTGCAGGAGGTTGGCTGTGGGAGCATAGTGACCATCAGGGGAAAGCTCCTATGTTGAGTGTATGCTCCATGGTGATCAGTGTGTATCATAGCTACTGGCCAGTCATAGGATCATAATGGTCACTTAAGCTTTCATATATATATATTAGAAGCATTGATTTTTTTTAAAATATTTTTTTGATTTTTTTTTTTGCCCACCTCCCTTCCTTCCACACATCCCCTCCCTCCCCAGAGTTTTATGTCCATTGGTTGTACTTATATGCATGTATAAAAGTCCTTCGGTTGATCTATTATCTCCCCCAGATCTTCCTCCCCTCCCTGCTGTAATTTGACAGTCTGCTTGTTGGTATACTGTCTCTATATCTATCTTTTGGTTCATCAGTTTATAATGTTCTTTATTATCCACAATGAGTGAGGTCATGTGGTGTTTTTCTTTCATTGACTGGCTTATTTCACTCAGCATGATGTTCTCCAATTCCATCCAGGTTGCTGCAAATGATGAGAATTCCTTCTTTTTTATGGCAGCATAGTATTCCATTGTGTAGATGTACCATAGTTTTTGGATCCAATCATCTGCTGCCGGGCACCTAGGCTGTTTCCAGATTCTAGCTATTGTAGATTGTGCTGCTATGAACATAGGGGTGCATATATCCTTTCTGATTGGTGTTTCTAGTTTCTTGGGATATATTCCTAGGAGTGGGATTACTGGGTCAAATGGGACTTCCATTTTCAGTTTTTTGAGGAAACTCCACACTGTTCTCCACAGTGGTTGCACCAGTCTGCATTCCCACCAGCAGTGCACGAGGGTTCCTTTTTCTTCACAACCTCGCCAACACTTGTCGTTTGTTGATTTGTTGACGTTGGCCATTCTGACAGGTGTGAGATGGTACCGCATTGTTGTTTTGATTTGCACCTCTCAGACAATTAGTGACTTTGAGCATGTTTTCATGTGCCAGAAGCATTGATTATTAAGTGTCCTCATAATCACCATATTTATAATTAATCTACCACTGTGCCAGGTGTCTTTTATTTTTAAGCAAAACCTTGCCAGGCGTACAGGTTATGATGTAGAGGGAAGCCGAGCTGTTCTGAACGGGGTGGGGCTATGAGCCCTGGCCCTTTGGACAGTCCTAATTACTATCATGGCTTTTGTAATTTTCCCTGAAGCCAATAATGGCAATTGCTAAGGGACAAGAGTCCTCAATTCTGCAAGGCGTTGCCCCTAAACAATTTCAAAGACACAGGTTGTATTCTTGTTCTCTAAGCCTGGTGTGCATCAGACTCATCTGGTGCAGTTAAAATACAGATTCCAGTCTCTACCCTCAGAGATTGATTTCATTGGCTGAAGGGCTGAGGACCAAACATCAGGATGTTTAAAAGATCTCATGTAATGCTGATGTACAGGCAAGGCTGAGAACCACTAATCTAAACTGGTCCTATTTCAGGTGTGAAACAACAGCATTCACATAACTTGGTCACTTACTAGAAATGTATATGCTTGGGTCCTACCTCAGAACCACTGAGCCAGAAACTCTTGGGATGAGGCCAGTAATATTTTTGGGCATGCCTTTCGGATGATTCTGCTGCACTTTCAAGTTTATGGAGGTCTGATCTAAAATATGTTCTTCTGTCTACCACTAATATATATGTAATACTCTCAGCATGAGAGTTTCAGTCTCATAAATTAGGTTAAAAGAAGCTGCTTGGAAAATTGGTTATTCTGGCATAATTATTATTAGCACACCTTTTCTCTTAGACATGTCTAGATATGGTCATTAAGTTGTGATCATTCTAAAGTTTCCTTCTTTCCCACACATTCATCCCCCTGACTGTATTTGGATAATTTTTATAAGCCTCTTTCCTTGAGACACATAATGGGTCAATAAGTATACGGCTAACTAGAGACATTCTTCTGCATTGTTCCTGCAAATTTTGTTTCCAAGCTGAGGCTTCATCTCTCCTTAGTGCTTTATGTATGCCCACATGGGCTCTTAACCTGGATTCTCTACAAAGCAACTGTTTTTCTAAATGTGATAGTCTACTAACTTTGTAATATGTGAAAGCCTCCCAAAACTCCAGATGGTTTTTACAGAATAACTGCACTGCCTTCCAAAAACTGCTCTTTTTCCCATGCTCTTTATGCCTTTGAAGGAACATATTTTTATTTTTGTGCTTTTATTCATTCATCTTATTCTTTTCTTTATATCTTTGATCATCATCAACTCTACCAGTAGATGACAAGCATTGGTCTGCAGAGCTATGAGAGCTTATAGGCGTCTTCAGTGAGTGCTGGGAGGTGGGGGGAGGGAAAGGAAACCAAAGAGGCACATTATCCCCGTCCACCTGAACTGCCTGAGCCAGGGCAGCTTCAAATAAGACTTCAGTATAGAATGCCACTTGAAGAGATTCTGTGATTATTAAAGAATAAAGACACTTGTCTTACTTTGAGTTTCTAGAGACAAGAATTCAAATGCAGGTAGTTTATTTAGAATGTAAAGACAATACTGATAAGGGAGTGATGGAGAGAGAGTGGAAAGGGAAGCAGCCACTTGGGAGACCTGTTTATCAAGAAAGCCAACACTGTGAGCGACTGGATTGCAATCCCAGGGGGAAACACTAGGGAATGGTAGGAAGCACACTGTCAGAGTTATCCATTCCACAGGGAAGGAAGCTGGGATATTTATATGCCAACAGTATTCGGTTGAGGGCCGGTCCTAGAAGTGTGAATTATTCATCGCATTCCCTCTGCCCTGTGCTCTATACAAAGGCACAATGGCCCTCCAAGGCCTAGGATGGGCCTGCAGGCCATAAGCTGTATGGCAACTATAAGTGTGGGCTGTGCATTGAAAAGGTAAGGTCCAAGGGGCAGGAGCCGGCACTTCTACTCTATCACTAAAACTGGGTATAATACTTTTTCTTTGCAGGCTAGGTTTTTCTCTTTGTCTTATCCTCTCTCCACCTCATTTCCTGAACTATTATAGTATTGTTGTGTCTCATGCCTTTGAAGCCAACTGTACTTCCCTTTCTCCATTAATAAGTACTTGCTGCATCCCAGGAGGGAAAAAATCTCTGAAATTCAATCCCATTCATGTCAACAAGCATACATTCAGCATCTGCTACTTACAAGGCACTGTGCTAGAGGCTGGGCATTTAATGACAAAGGGAAACAGACAGCATCCTTGATTTCATAAGATTACAGAGTACAGAAAATAATTCAAATTCATTATTTTCCCAGTACTGTAAATCATAAGCATTTTCCAACTATTATATTGAATACCTCATAATAGCAGCTGCATGGGGATAATCTTCCAATTTTCCAAATAGAGTAATGGGGCTCAGAGGGATGAAGTAACCTGTCCAAAGTTACATGGTCCCTAAACAGCAGAGACAGGCTCTGTGACAG